CACATCACCAGGCCAAGTTACAAGTCAGATCTGTGGAGAAGTGGACTTGTTTACAGAAATAATACATGTTTTGCTGTAATTTTGAGATATAAAAATACATGTAATTGAATAAATACAGGATAAATTTGTCTTTTGCTATACTGTGGAACATCCGATGCAAAGCAATAGCATCACCATGGAGGTTAGCCACCAGAAAAGTTACACAGTGCCCTTTATGCCATGCAATTATCTTCCCTCTCATAAGTATTCAGCTCAAGTCAGTGGATATCCTGCTAATATAGCATCTCTCACCTCAGTGACTTCATTTGACTTACTAATTAAAGTTTGCTGTTGTCTGGGGTTTAATTAAACATGCTCGAAATTGACAGTAAGCACACAATTTAGTGTTGAACTGTACAGTATGGAAATGGCTTCACCTGGGCTGTGTTGGAGTGCTGGCATTGTCCTGCTGCAGCGGGCCTGAGAGGTGCAGATAAAGGTGAGTGGCAGAGTCATCGTCACTGCACTGCGCCATGGACTGAATATGTTACAACAATGTGAGTCTTTAAAGCAATGCCATAACATGCTGGGTGCTAAGGCAGAGTCTGAAGGCACTTAAACACAGGTCAGGAAGGTTTCTCTTAAACAAAATGCACTTATTATTACACTTATTATTCTCCTTTAAAAATGTCCACAGAGAATCAACTGATCATAGTTACCCCATCTGTCGTTGCAACATCTGTCATACACACATCTTACACACATGTTTAGTCTGGCAGCTTGAGCAACCGGATCCTACTAATATGAACTACCCCTTCCACCTGCAACTGACGTTAGGACAAAACAAACTGTTAGCTGATAAGTCGTTTTGTTGTGTGAAAATCAGCATAATGTGAAACCAGTGAGATTGAATTAAGACCCAGGCACTCTTCTTCCTTTAAGTAATTCCCATCACGCTTCTAACGTCTACTCAGCCTCACCTCTGCCAGGGAGGTTATCTTGTACAAATTGAAAAGGCTTTCTGCTCTGAGTGGCCATGGTTTTAAGAATGACCGGAGGTCAATACTGACTATCAAGAAGCCCATCCCTTCCTCTGTTCACAGTGCCAGTATGTGCTCTTCTTCCTGCTTCACACAAACAGGATGCTCAATAGAAAAGTGCTCAACATGCTCGCTGACTCACAGGGCTGCAGGAGACCAAAGGCTCTGCTGAGAAAATGTATTTCAAACATAGCTGTTAAGAAACTGGACAAAAACACCATGCATGGAAAGTTAGGACAGCCAGTTGTCTCATGATGTCAATTATACAAAGTCACCAATAGAGGGTGCTGTTCTGTCACATCTGTTACATTTCTTTGCATTTGCTCTAGTTAAACTCAAGCATGCACCTGACAAATAAATAATACAGATAAATATCTTACATAAATTGAATTTTAAAAGTAATGACATGATGTTTTCAAGTAAGAGCAGTGCAGTAGTAGAGTAAATAGTACTTCTGCTCTAAGACAGGCTGTGTCCTCCTTATGATGTAGCTTCTCTTTGGTTTGTACAGTCACAATCCACATGTTAGTTTTTGGATGCACCTCTTAAAGTCAACACTGGAAATCCTTGTTTATTATTTTTGACAATAATTTCTTGACCTCACATGAACCATTCTATGGACTTCATATTTTAGCAAGACAGTGAGGCATTTTTCTGAAACTGTACTTTGTACTGTATATTACAAAAGATCTAAATATGATATTATATTTGTACTGTACATTATAAAATATTTTTTATAAAAACAACTAGCCTCTGTCCATTTTCATAGATCTAGTCATTCCTTTTTGAGTTGCAGCATATGAACACTGAGCCTGAGGCCTGTCTTTGAAACGAGTCCCTCTCCTTGGACCCTATCAGCGTCCCAGTCCCTGTGTCATTGGGCCTGGACTGTTCCTGTGGTGCCCTGGAGCCCCCACTGGAAGTCACTGCAAAGTCACAGCTCTGAGTCAGCTCTGTGTGGGGGACCAATGCAAACACAGCGATTGCACCAAGGACTCCAATTTTAGACTTCAGAAGAGCCATGCAATCTATTATCTCAAGAACTAACAACTTTCTCATAAAACATTAATCTAACTTTGTCTTAAAATAGACATTTGTGTAAATTTATAGCTTTAAAGTTCTAACAGGGAAAAAGAATGAAATTCTTATTCACCTCTCTGCAGCTCATTAATTATAATGAAGGTGGTGGGAAAATTCAATTTTGTCCTAATTATGTTGATTTCCTTTTGGCTTAAAAAAAACCCTGCAGCACTTTGGAGGAAAAAAGGTGCACTTTCAGCATTTGGGGACATCAACTACAGTGGAAAAATCACCTTAAGATCCGAAGGCCAGTATGCTCAGCATTATGGTACAAACAAGACGAAAGGTTAAATCTCTCCCTGCCCTCTCAGGGATTTCACATCTCTAAAACTAAAACTTAAACAGGCCAAAGAGAATTCTGGACTGTATTTCCGGGTTAGTGATTAGATGCATTTTATCAAAGCAAATATTTTTATTGTTTGAACAGTTGCGGGATCTAAGAAAGTATCCTCCTGACCGCTGTATGACAGACATGGCCTTGGCATTCTCTTTTGAACACAAAAAGGGAACTGGGACAAGACAAGGCGAAAGTAGATGAAACAGAAGCAAAATCACCAGATGAAAGACTGCGAGAGGAACGGTCAATGGTGGAACCAAAGGGTTTGGAAATCAAATGGGATTCTTGCTGTGAAGAAGAGACGAAGGCTCTACAGCAAAGATTAATAAATATTCAGAATACATGCCAACTTGTGTCTTGGGGAGAAGCGACTACTTAACATAGAAATGACCCTATTCTGCTGGAAGGACTTAACTGTGGAGGGGTGAAGGGAGAGTTCGAGGCATTCGGGACAGAAGCTTTGCTGATCTATTTTAGTCCAGACCCAGCAGCCCCCTGCACACATGATAGCCCTCAATGAAACTGGACCTCTAGCCTAGTCATATGAGACAGGGGTGTGCTCGAGGAGAGAAGCTCAGGTCAAACACCCCATCATAAACATAAACTCTAACAAAGTGCCATCTATAACTGATCACAAGCTGCTTTAAAAATGACAGACAGCTACGTATATTCTACTTTGTGGAAGGACCAATCTACAATAATGTAATCAGTGTGCCTAATAGAGTTATTAATTGTTGATCAATAAAAACGGGACCAGGCTAACACATTTACAAGAAGAGGCAGCACAAACTCTTTTGGCATAAAGTATTTAAGAGCCGAGAGAAAGTGTGTGTGACGTTTTCATAAATCACTGACCATAACTCTGGTCATCATCAATCATATCTTTTACAATATTGTGGAGGTTGGTGGATGTGATTTTACCCACATAGCTTTTTTACATTGTACAATTTGTATTTGTCATTTAAACACAAATTGTAAATTAATATTATAAATCTGATGGATGGTTAGTACATAGCCACTGCAACTGTCAAAAGTCTTCAACATTGTGTTCGTAGCAGTAAATTACTTTTGTTTGTAAGTGCAATCCGTAAGTAACAACAAAGACAAACTTTAAATTAACTAATTGGTGGATGAGGGTTTTTTTTTTTTACCTGTGCAGGAAACTAGTAACTTCAGTTCCTAATTTGAAAAGCATTTTATTTAAAGAGCCCCTATGATGCTGTTTTCTGGTCAGAAACTCATCAAAAACACATTGTATTTTGATTCATTCACACAGGTTTAACAGACTCACATCCTGAATATTTAGGCTGTGCCCCTGTCTCAAACTAAAACACCCTGTTATGTGTCATGCGGTAAAATAGGAAGTGCTCTACTGTATTTTTAAACTATATACACTTTCACTAGAATCACTTACATAATTTCAACAGTGGAATTTTCTACCTGTACTAAACAAAAGGTAAAAGGTAGTCTTTACATGAGATCACAAGGTGGAACAGAGCATTTTCAGCTTTGGAGATGTAAAATGACTAATAATGTAGGGTTACTCAAACACGTAACAATGAAACAAAACATGACTCCAGGTACGTTTTTGATTCTAACATGGCTTAAAGCTCACGAGTCAATTTTGTGTAATATATGTCCTTTAAATTAATTGATGCCTTTACTCTGTGCGTCAATCTAACTAACACAAGCAAACAGTGTGATGGTTCAAGTGAGCCCTGACAATAACAGAAAATCTTCAACAATGGCTCCCTCTTTTGGTAATAGTTGAGAGCTGGCATTTATTGAGCAGGTATTAGTACAGTCAATAGGAGGCACATTACCTGAAAGCCTGTGCTGTTTTGTGCTCACTCGGTTGGTGCTTTGGACGGTGCAGCAGAGGTGGAGCATGGCAAACATGGTCAGGATCATTACAACACTTTGAAGAAGAAGGGTCAGCTCAAACTGCTTTCCAATCCTGCCATAGTCACACATGAAAATAGAAGACAATTTCAGCACCAAAATGCATGAACTTATAATATAATATTTTCAACAAACATCTTTTCACAATGCCACTTTTTTCACACTACTGCTTAGGGATGTTTTTGATATTTATAGTAGTAGCATATGGCCATTCCCCTTTGCACATTTGTGTGAGTTCAAGCAATACAATTCTCACCAAAGTACAAACAGACCAAGCAGCTGTTGTCCTGCTGTGGTTTTCAGGGTGTTTTCAGATTTGATATAACATAATGTTTAAATATAATCCTCCTCACCAGAAGAAAATGCGTAGGATGTTGGCTATGAGGAGCACTAGACACACTCTGGTGGAGAAGCCCTCTGTGTTGCTGGACCTCTGGATCTCCTGGTACTGGGGCACATAAGGCAGGGCTCCTCCAAACACCATGAGACAGGAGGCCAACCATGACAACAGTGTCCAGGATGTCTCCACATCCTCTTCCTGCAAACCCACTCCACCATCCATAGCTTGTCTGTTAGGGGAACAATTTAATGAATTACTGTTAACAAACAACTGGGTTAAGTTACAATAATTAAAGTCACCTGTCAGGGTCAACACTGTAAACATTATGAACTAAAGACAGTTACTACCTACCTAGGACCTAAGCCAATGAAAATAGGCTACCATCCCACAAATAAATTCAAGAGGAACCAGAAACAGCAGGCACAAAAATGAAGAATGAGCAGCTGATGGTTTTGTGGTGGGGAGTGTCACACTGTTAACCACATATAACCACTGTCATGCACAGATAACAAGCCTAGACACATGTCTTTGTTTCCAACACTTATAATGTGCCTTAAAGCAACTGCTGCAAACAAATGCATTAAATTTATGTCTGTACTATGTTTTATAGAATTACTATAACATAATATTACAATAAAAATTTCAGATTAAAGCTCACCTGATGTGGTTTTCCCTCTGGGTTGGTCTAGACCTGTATGTGTTGCTATGTACACAAAGGCATGACCTAGACCAATGAAAACAATGACAAGAACATGAGATGCCAATTTTGTTAATAGGTTTCCATGAGACAATCCATTTTTGAATTTTTGTTTTTTGACAAAACAAAAGCACAGTGGTGTTTAACACATTAAAAGTCAGCTGACAAGTCAGCTACTGCGGCTTAAACTTCCACTTGCTCAAGAACCTGAGGCATTCTGTCCAGATAGACTACACCAACAGGTTTTCATGAGAAATCTTATCACAGATTATGGGGTATGTTTCAAACATACCAAACTTTTCATGCCCAATGCAGAGACTATAGTAACTTTACCCACTGGTCTATACTCTGCTGTGAGCAGATTATAACATAGCTATAAGGGGTTGGGCTGCACAACCAAAATTTGCTCACGTTGTGGCTATGAGGCTAGAGTTACAAAAGTAAAGGTTATACCTAGTTATACATTAAACATTAAATGAACCTGTGCGGTTTGTCAAACACGCCTCTGTTTAGAGAAGCTAATTAAAATTTAAATTATGTTTAAGGGTGTTATTATGTTAACCACAGCTTTATGTGGCTCAGAATGCCTACTTTACATCTAAAGTGGACTTTTAGTGGAAAGTGTTACACACATATTTAGATTTAATGTTCATCTATAGGCCTACCTGCAGTTTTTGCCTTAAAATGAAGGGCCACGGTAGGGAGCTTGTTTCTCTCCTGTCCTGGGGAGATTCAACTTTCGGATCCCAACATGTTCTTAGAAAACATTGGCAAGCGCAGCAGGCTCTCGCGCACCAGCGCGTACACCACCATCTGGAACCAAAAAGTTTCAGCCTTATGTGGTCACTGACTTGCAGTTTGCGCAGCACAGCAATAAGAAGAACTTGCAATGACGGACATGAAACCAAGATGCATATCGTTAAAAAACAGTACAGTGTTGTTAGCGCTCAATCCCCCAGAACTCAACGATCCACACTGCTTTGCGGTGCTGCTCTGATCTCGCGATAGGTCGAGTGAAGGAACAGCTGACCGCACAGAGGGAGGATCCAGGGCCAGCAGCTACAATTTGTTTACAAGCTCTTTGGCTACATTTTGGACATACCTTCATAACAACTTTGTTAAGCCGTACAGTAGTTCAAAGACATGGCTGAGACTGATCCTAAGTCTGTGCAAGATCTAACCAACGTGGTGAGTCGATTCATGGTTCAATCAAAGCTAATGCTAGCAGCCTTAGCATCTGCTTTTACTGCAGTCGATGCTAGGCTAAACGCGGGGTTCATTTTTTTCTTTTTTTTCCCCACTTAAAGTGTTGTGTTATCGCTACACACGTTACAAACTGTCAAAAACAAAACAAATGGGACAATGTAACGTGCTCATAATTTGCCGAGGTGAAATATCTTTGTTCTTATTTCACCTGATTAGTGGCTTGAATATTGTACTAAATATCTCTGGCCGTTGTATGAGGTAAATCACATCAATTTGTATAATCTTTAACTATTAAACTATAAGAAATGAAGTAAATAATAAAGAGTACTGTTTTTTTGATCGATACTTGATGTAACTGTTTAATAGTTGTTATGGAGACGCTTGCACACTCACGCCCCCAGTGCTACACTGGTTTCCGCCTTTATGCAAGAATCAGATATCAAAAAAGTCTTGTTGATGAGAAGGGGGCCGTTTCCAAAAGTCTGCCATCGTCTATTTTGCCAGTTTTTTTGTTTTGTTTTAAATCATGGTCATTGTTATTTCACAAATCTTACATTGTTTCTTCTCTTGTAGGTTCAGACTCTGCTGCAACAAATGCAAGACAAGTTTCAGACAATGTCAGACCAGATCATTGGAAGGAATATCCTTACAGACCACGAGCTGTTGCTTATATGTAAATATTATTGCTGTACCTTGTTTTGTACAAATGTGCCTTAACTTTTCCACTCGATGAGATGAGTACCCGCATTGATGACTTGGAGAAAAACATTGCTGATCTGATGACGCAAGCAGGTGTTGAAGAGATCGAAGGAACACCAGAAAAACCTAAAGAGGGTCAAGGCTCATCATGAAGGTAAGGTTACGAATAAACACATAGGAAACAGTGGAAAGCTGAACATAAACTTAAACTAGAAAGAAGAAAAGTAAGACGCCTTTAAAATTATGCTTTAAGATTATAGTAAAAAGTAAAAGATGAAAGGAAATGATGATGGTGAGAAGATAAGAGAAACACATTAATTTATAAACTGACCAAAATATAAATATAAGGGGGCCTTGAATTAAATAAAACTAAAGTCATTTGTGCATATGTGTTGTTATATTCTATTGTATTTTTAATTAAAACAAATCTTAAACTATACTTCTTCTTCTTACAGGTTCCTCGAAGAGGAATTTGAAGTCCTATATTCAGAAGTGGCAGACTTTTCCTCAGTGACAAGAGTTCTATTGATTTGATGTGTTTTTGTGTAAAATGCTTTTATATATTCAATATTGTGAAATTGTTACGGTTATGTAATGACTTGAAGATGAACATTTGTAGGTAGATTGTGATGATGCCCTTCTGTACTTAGTGCTGGTTCACAAATAGCAGGTAGTTTACCAGTCTCCTTTAATATTTAAGTAAACATATACATGGAAATATGGGTTATTTGTTCCAAACTGACAATTTCTCCAACTCAAAATGTCTTTTAATACTATACAAACATGGGCATTTCCATGTAATTGCTGTACAATTGCAATGTCCACAGCATTCCAGATTGTTCCATCATGAAATGGATTTGCTACAGTTGTGTATCACATAATAAAAAGTAAATATTTGGTCACTCTGTTATTTTTATTATTCTCTTGGTATTACTTTATAGTGGTTAAACATGTGGTAGAATGGAGTATCCTGTAAAGATAACACCATATACTGAAAGCAGTTTATGGTGGCATCAGGAAAAATTTGAATAGTGACCCAAGTATAGTTTATTTGTATAGGAATTTATGAAATTGACCCTTTTTTCAAGGCATTTTCAGCCTATAGACAGCTGTAAAGGCCAGGCATAACATTGGGGAAAAACCCTGTGCTAGGAAAGCAGATGCTCCTCATGGGAACTTGCTAGAAGAGAATAACATTTTGGTCATGGTCTAAAACGATTTTGGATCACCCTTTCTTTGAGTCCTATTACTACTTTAATTCCATTTAATTGTTCAATAAACTCATACTACAGTCCACTGAGTAACTGTACTTGACATGGTGGCCTAATTTTAGGTAAACATATTATACATATTAAATTGGCATTCGTTGATTGCAGCTTAGGAACTTTTATTTAAAAAAACAAAAATGCTGAAAATAGCATGTAATGTAAGTGCAAAAATAGCTTGAAAAAAAATATTCAAAATTTGAACATATACAAAAAAAAGTGCTCAACTTGATAATGTCTCCCAGTCAGAGACACACACAGCAAATCATTATAAAATTAGAAGTTCTGCATGATCCCTGCATGGTTCCTCACTTGCTTTGTTTCAAACCTTAAAAGGTCAGTGTCTAGAACTCGAAATCTTCCTCCGTCATATCGATGGCCCAGGCAAATTTGTCCCTTTGGCTTTTATTGTAGATTTTATCCAGGGGCACCCCAAACTTCTTACACCTGAAATACAAAATCATCATGTATGAATAATTTTCTGCAAACAAAAAAAAAAGGTCACTATGTACTTGCAGTTTTGATTTACAAACTAAATCTGCTGAAGTGAAGGCTACAGTTTGTACTTGCCAAGCCACTGAGATTCGTGGGTCAAGGTAGTTGAGCTTTGAGGTGCCTAGAGCAATCTGTTTGTTCTCTTCTCGGTCAGTTGCCTGGAGCTCCATCCTCAGCAGCTGATCCTCACAGCGTTTCACTATTGCCTTCTTGCGATCCACCAGCCTGTAAGTAACGGAATACATTCCGTGCAAGTACTGTTAATCAGTCATTTATCCTTCAGCCGCAAAGAACAGTAAAACAATTAATATATAATACAATACAATATATTGATACAGCAGCACACAATATCGACAATGAATCACTATACATTAGCATTTTGAAAATGTGTCACAGCTGCAGTTAGTTAGTTCAACTGTGTTTCTTTAAATGTTAAGTATATTAAAACACTTACGCCTGCGATTTAGGGTCAGAGTTGTCTTTAGACTTGGCCTCCTTCTTAGCCTGTTTCAGTTCAGACTTAGCAAGTGCAAGTTGTTCTTTTCTTGTATCAATCTGAAATAAAATTTCATTTTTGTAACATTTATGTCAAAATATGTTAAAAACAAGTAAAGAATAGTCTGACCTTGGCTTGCAGATTTGCCATTGATTGCTCAAAGGTCTTTGGCGGCGCCCGCTGGTGGTTACACAGAATTGCAACTGCTCTATTTGCTCGGTTGTAGGACAAAATCATCTCTGCCACACTGTCCCCCTCTTTAAGAGAGTAACGAATTATTTCACATTAGAAATATGCAATATTCAACTAAATAACCTGAAACATAACAAATTGTGTCCACCTATTCATTTGACTTCAAATCTTTAAGTCCAGCTTCTGTAAGTTACTTTATGTCACAGACTGAAATACTACCTCTCAGAGTCAAAGGAGATGTGACAGTTCTATCTCAGAATGAATAACTGGCACATCCAGGGAGCCTACAGGGCCTAGATAAGAGTCAGGCCAAGATGGCTTCTGCTGCCACTGCCTAGAAACTGATTGATGTCTGACACCAGTGTATCTTGAATCAAGCTAAAAATATAAACTGTCAAAAATGAGACACATTGATATCAGACTGACTTACTGTTTGTGAGCTCCTTCAGCTGCTGCTGCAGGGTGATGGAAGCGTTGTATGTCCTGAAAACCTTTGCTGTAAGCCCCGCCATTAGAGAGCTCAAATGCTTGTTGAGCATTTGTGTCTAAACAGAGAAATAAAAGATAAGCGCCAACATAATATCATGTACTCAAACACAGCACCATGTTACTCAGAAAAATAAAGAACAACGCTAGGTGGCACTGTGGTATCACTTTCATGTGAGAGACAAGACAATCTGAAACTTTTTTAAACAAAACATGCATTTCTCATCAAACATTAAATGGTCACAGTTGAAGTGAGATAATCATTACGTTTACGACAAGTAAATCATTATCCTAAAGGTTTGCAATTAAAATGTCTTAAAGGCAAATTAAATGTATTAACTAAAATCTTTCACTCCAAATCTATATTAAAACTTTGGCAAAGACGGCTCATTATGATGCTGCAGGTACAGTAGACTGTTGCAGAGATACTGTACTATGTTAAAAGGATAAACTTTGATTTATTATTATTGCAACTTAACCTTCAGCTGTGAATCCAAAACAATTGGCTTTTCATCAAAACCAATTTTTGCTTCAGATGCATAATAAATATTCACAGCTCTGTTAAATGATTTATAATCATTGGTAAATCAATGGTGATCCATCAACTACTTAATATTTATAATACCTACACAGATATAAACAGTGGGATGAGCCTTTAGGTAATGCTCATTCACCTGTACCCATCTGTACATATAAAGCAGGTAAGCAAATACTCCCGTCTGGCAAAAAGAATTGATATTAAACTAATGAACCTTTTACCAAAGCTCTTTGCAGCTTCCTGATTGTGCACTGATCCTGCCCCTGTTCTTCCAACCTTACCCCAGCTATAGTCCAGCATGTCCCTTTAGCCTGGCCTCTTGTGGCTCTCTGTCATCTCTCCTGCACACCCCCTCTTCCCAGTGGCCTTTCCACATGTCAATCAAGCCTGCCCACAGGACTATTACCATTCCACCTCCACCTCCAGCTGACATTTCCTGACACTGGAGGCCAAAGAGGTGAGGCAGAGCACGCCCGTCTGTCCAGGGCAGCAAGGTAAGCACCATTTTATTTGCAACTGCAACTTGAATAGTCTCAATTAGCAAGCTGAAATTATTTTGGTGATCTACTGACCACAGGGTTGTGTACAACACCGGGTTATATAGTTGTAGTCGTTAAGATCTTTACATTTTCTGAAGTGCATGCAATCCTTGCATTAGTTACACTTTTCACATCACAGGTCCCTTTAGTGTGAATGATCCTTTTAAAATCTGTGAATTGAATATTGATTTAAACATAACTTGCAATCACAGGACAACCCACACTTTCATATTTTTTTGTTTAGATCTACCACTTTCAACTTCTGAGTTTTTATTCCAATTAATTTTTGTACACCATGATGTGGCTCACCCTCCATCACTCCAGTTTTCTTTCATTTCTTGAATTTGTGTGGTCATGTGCCTGATCCATTTCCTCCACTTATAGCTCTTCAATAATTTCCCTTTTAATTAATTTGTTAGTGATCCACTCGCTTAAGCTAAGGTCATGGTATGGGAGGACGGAACAGCTCAGTTTCTAAATGAAGACATGTATATTAATGTACTTCATGGACAGCGTTAGCTGGAGGCTTAGTTCAAAATGTAATGCTACCGAGTAGGTTGAAACCTTAAAAAATAAATCTAAGCACTGACCTAACCATGAACATGACTACCTCTGCACGCCCTGGTGCCTGTAGCTGCAGGGAAGAATGGAGAGTTTGCGAGCACAAATGTTATCCATGTAGCATGTTCGTCTCCATTTTCTCTTGTGCAGTTTCATATTTATCAGGCTGATTCTATCCCTCTTTCCCAGCTGAAACATTCACTCTTTACAGTAATGCAGCATGCTTCCCTTCTGTTCACCTCTGATGCTCCACTCCTCCTTTGCTCTCACCACACCAACAGCTCATGTACATTTATACATCAAAATCAATTCCACATGTACTAGGCCATGACATGTATAAAATGTTAAAATGTAAAAAGTTAACAAGAGTAAAAGCGTATACAAAGAGATAATGGGTGTGCTAGGTTCAGCTCACAATTGCCTCATGAAAAGACCACAAATAAAGGAATAAAAACACTCACATTAAGGCGATCAAACAAGTCATCTCCAGGTTCCTTGTTCTCCATGAACAGTTTTAGATTCTTAAAAACCTACAACACACACAAAATAAACAAAAAAAAACAAAAAAACACAACACATAACACTTATTCACTGGTTAGAAGTACTTGTATAAAATACTTAAACATGCAAAGGTTGTGTAATGGGAGGCCAATGCTGGACATTCCACAGATACAATTCAATGTACACATACATATAGTGTAGCTGATCCTGTAAGTCTAAGAGAGCAAGTTTAAATAAGTGCCAAAATAGCAAAGTCTTACTAGTTCTTTTTAGGTAGGTTAACAACAGAATTTGTATTTTATTTTTAGCGTTTGTGCTTGTACATTACTATCAGACCACAACTGACTTCAAACAACATGAAACAGAATTTTTCTCACTGCTTTTCATGTTGCGTTTTATTCGAGGTGACATTTAGCAGCAATCACACTTGCTTCCATGGGAATTGTTGATGGTAAAATATGCAAGAGACTAATTAATTTTAGCTAATGTGTTGATTTAGAATAGGCTCATATGAATAATTATATGTCCAGCCAAGAAACCAAACACTTTGGCTGTCAGGTGTTAATATTTCCTTTTCTGAAAACAAAGATAACATGGGTTTAGGCAAAGACCAGAGAAGGGATAGCAATCTACATAAGGAGGACATGTATACATACTACAGATGAAAAAAATAAGTAAATACATACAAATAATAATATAAAATAATACAATTAACACAGAAATTAATCCATTGTAAAATCATAGTATCAAAATGTAACTCATCTGAGTGGCCAATTTCAGTTGATTCCATGAATATCTCGAATATTTTTCAGGGTACTCTAGTATAGCACCACATGGTAAAATTAAAGAAATTACATTAAATTATATTTTACATCTGCATTTATATAAGAGTTTGAAATGTCAGCATTGTTAAACATTTTAGACAGATTTTTTACTTACTTGTATATAAAAGTTTGAAAATTCAAAAATTAGTAGCCAAAAAAGTCCTGACCTGGATTAAACTAAACTAAGCAAATGGGTAAAAGCTTGGATAATTATGTTTCAACAATTGGCATCCAAAAAAATGGGGTCAGCAGACCTAAGCACTGAGTTGCCAGGTTATTCCATCAATGGATTTTTCATTAATAGCACAGCATATTCCAATATATAACAAGGACGCAAATCTATGTTGTGATGTTGCTTCAGCGAGTGTGTGCTGTGATCAGAGTTAAAGGCTGTATATTTAAATATTTGCGCATGTGAGTACCAGGCAGTGTCTTTATCAGAGAGGCATTCAGGACTAGTGTTTTTACCTTCTTAATGACGGGGACCTTGTTGTAGTAGCGAATGGAGTCTTTACCCAGGAAGTCAAACTCCACTACATACTCGTCTCCATCCAGTTTGTCGTGCAGGGTAATATGCTCCACTCTGATAGAGCAGCAGCCCACCGTGTCCGCAGTTTCTCCCTCCTCCTTCTCGTTACCTGCTCTCAGGGCCAGCTGATGTTGACCAAAGGATACAGACATTAAAATGCACTTAAAAACTTACAAATTTAGATTTGTATTACAAATCAGTAACATTTTAAAAAGTAGCACAACAGAGATCAACACAAAGAGCTGAAACACACCTTGTCTATGAAGTAAAGGGCCACTGCCCTCTGGCGTGTGCCCATCTGTTTAGACTTAAGGTCCTGATTGTACTGGTACCGGATATCATCCACACACGTCTTCAGTTTCCGTGCAACTTCATATTTCTCCCAGTCCTTTTCGCCCTGCATTTAAGATAGCCCCTTTCATAAGTATCACATAAAAACTACCAAAAAATGCAAGATCTTACAACTCCTAAAAATATTTAGTGTATTTAAGCAAAATGGAAAATCTGTGTGACGCCGTTTTACAATGATGCACTCCTATGGTTTCAAAACTGCATACCTAATAGAAGGTGACTTGAAAAACTGATCTACCTTTAGTTTTGAGTTGGCATTGAGCATGATGTACTTGATAGATCCCTGAATGTTTTCTGTCCAACTGGCCAACCACGTCACAGTGTTATCATGACGGACCTCTTTCCAGCGATGACCAGCGGGTGGGACAGGAATACGGGATTCTCTAACAGAGGAAAACGAACATATTCCAATATAACAGGATTATTTTCAGCATGTTAAATTTATGTTGCAGTAAGGACAGGAGGAATTTGACAAAAATGCATTTTGCGATTTTTAATTGATATGTAGGTTTGACTTCTGTAAATCATGTCAAAAAGCTTGCAATTTCTGTTCAATGTATGGCCAGTCCTTTCCTTCACTAATTTGTCAATTCTCACTTGCTACAGTTTATGATGACATCCTCTGGCTGGATCCTTTTCTTCAGCATGCCTTGTTTTGGATGCTCTCCCCTCCCTCGGAATAACCCTGGAGGCTCAATCTTGAAATTGCCAATTCTTTCCTTGTGGTGGTCCAGTAGGCAGTAGCCAAACTCATCCACAATTTTCTGGTTGGCATCTTTCAGAGCCTAGAATGAATTTCAGTTAGTTAAGTCAGTATTGCAAAAGTATACGCACATCGCGCATTTGAGTAACCTTAACTTACTTGTTTCTCCTCCTTGGTCATGTTTTTCCGAGCCTCCACTTTAGCCTTGTGCATGGCATGCATCTCTCCAAAGTCACACTTGTTCAGGTCTTTAATAAGTGACCTTTCCTCTAAAGTCATCTCCTTAAATGTGGAAATAGAGATTTAACACAACAAATGTAAAAATCTCACCATTGCATACATACATAGATAAACTAGAGAAAACTCAATACAATGTGCACACAACAGCATCAGATCATTGTATCATGCATCATAACTTAAGGTCAGTATGATCCAGATATACCACTATCTTCCCATTTAATAGCTCTACAACTGATATAAAAAGGGACAAACGGAGCAGAGTTCATCTAGGCTTCTTACAGTACAGAGTACTTAATTGCTAATCTAGAAATATAATTTTCTGAAATATCATGAGTTCAGAGGCTAGGTACTGTATTAACTCTGAGCCTGAATTATCTGTTTCACAGGCTTTGATATCAAAATTGAAATTCAGACACATACTTTACAAGTGACCACTTAAAATGTCCTCATCAGAGGCACTATGACAGAAAATACAAGCAGCCAGTCTGCAAGTGTTAACCATGACTGACACTTGATGAGGGTGGGCACTGAGGGCAGTGAAGCGTAGACAGTTTTTCCGGCTATAATAAAACACTTTAATTGGATTTGTTCATATGCAAGGGAGCTACTTGTATGGATTAGCATATCAATGCTTGCACACAAATCGTATTTTCAAGTGCATTGAGCACTAAGCAGTGCAAAATTAATTCTGTATGATATGCCTGGGGCTCGATATGGTGTCTCCTCTTTATAACATCATGATTGTCATGAGTATGCATCTAAAAGTTACACATACAAAATGTGTAAACAAGTATTTCTGTACATAATTAAATGTGTATTACCTTTCTCCAGTCTTTAAAAAAGTTCTCCCGAAACACTTCTTTGGTGGTGTACTCATGGTCCAACATTTGGGCGAAATACAATGCCACTTCTTCAGCAACCAGGCTCAGCTTTACTGGCTTACCTGCACAAGGTGACACTTAAGGGCTTGGCATGAAAGGTTTCATACTGTACATCCAGTGTACATAATTAAATTGTACTTAGGTTGTCTGACCATCATAGTAGAACTGAACATCATCTGGAACAGGCTGATATTCTGGAGGAAAGTAGGGTCCTTTGTGTTCCAAGAATTTCCATTTAACACCATCTTCATACTTTTCTTCCTCCCACCTGATGAAGACAATACAAGCACACTTACACCACATTCTTGTTTAATGCTGAAGTTGTGTTTAGTATTGTAGTGAGCATGTCCAGTAGACAATAAAGCTCTCACCATCTCCAACGGTTCTGCTCTTCCTCTTCCTTCTTTTTAATCTTCAGTAATTTGGCCTCCTGAATTTCCTCCTTTGTCCTTTTAGGTTTTTTTGAGACTGGCACAGACTCGTCCTCCTCTTTTTTGACTGACTGTGTAGAAATGAACAAAGAGGTAAACTTAAAATGTTATGTTCAATTCCACCCTCAGATCACAAACCCAAAAGTGTGGACCTTTTCAGTTTTTTTACTCTTCTTTTTCTGGGATGCTTCATCATCTTCTTGTTTCACTTTTTTAATTTTTTTTGACCTAAATACAAAATACAACATAATACAAAAAACAATGTCCAAAAATATTTCTTTTTTTTTTTATTGACAACCTAGTAGGGCCCTCAGTTTGTTCTTCTTTAATTCTTTTCCTTTTCTGGCCTTTCTTCTTTGATATAAAGTCTGCAGCATCGTCTCCAGGCTCCTTTTTTATCTGCTCGCTACTAGACAAAAAGACATATTAAAAACAGTACATTTCAGGGTAAAATGAAAAATGGCATATTCACATCAGAAGTCAGAAGACAGATAAGGCAGTTCAATTCAAAGTCATTCATTGCACAGTAACTAAACCAAAAAGTTCAGTTTTTGCCATTTTGTTAAAAGTTTATGATAAATGATAATAATGTATTCCTTTCTTTCACCATTTCAACTAAATGAATGTCTAGGCTTAACTTGAGAGGTCTGAGAGCACTTCACTTACACAACTGAAGCTGAAGGACCTTCCAAAGGATCCTCATCATCATTCAAAGACTTTTTTGTCTTCATGACAAAAGCCTGAGACTGGCTCTAACTACACAAACACCATTTTAAGCACTGTACAAACTAAAGAGTAACAGCTTTAGCTTTACAGCTAACATTAGGTTAATTACAAATCTATCCCATAAAAATAGTATTCTGTGTGCATGCTTCCAGCACAGAGATTAGAAGATAAATGAGACTTCAATTTCAAAGAGGAAAAAACTGATTAAAGACACGGGCCAAATTAAGTAATTAAGTAAAGCATTTAAAGAAGGGTTCACCATCACTTCACATTTAATTTACTTATGGGAAATTAAATCACTGATGCCTTATATGATCTCACTGGCTTAGAACTCTGGATTTAAACGCAAACACACCACTATAGCCAAACCAGCAGACTGACTCTCCACTAGTCGCAGAAAGACATTTCCCTGGTGTTCATGAGATAAACATGTTTAAGTTCTGACAATGTGTAAAATCAATGCTTTAACAACAAGTGTAACAGAATTGTTACACTTGAAGTAAATGGTTGGTATCTTCACAAAGTTATTTTTGCAGCTTTATATTTGTGACAAATGTGTATCAGATATTAAATACAGAAATAAAATATAATTACTTATTTCTCACAGCCAGCGCCATGTGCATGCATCATTGTTTCTTTATGATAATTTTTTTTATTATAAAAAGTGAGTTAAGAATAGGGTAACTAAGTAACATTACAATATCCTAAGTATAACTAAGTCATTTACAATATCCTCATTTCAAGTTTTTTTTTTTTTTTTATATGATTCCGTATAAATAACCTCAGAGTCGTAAACACTGCTGCAGCTGACTGTTTTGCTGCCCTTCAAGGGAATGCTGCGATCCCTAGACATAGTCATGTTTAAGTGCATCACTGAACAAAACCCATCAAAAAGCTATACAAGGAACACTGGGTGGTCATTTGTCCATTGACATTTATGGACATTTCTGACCCAATTCTGCCACACAGCAATAACCTTCCTCTGCAGCCCACTCAGCTTCAGAGTCACCCTAAAGGGAAAATTTAATAGACAAAGTTGGGCAAAAACTGTTTCTTTACATCTTTCTTTACTGACCACCTTTTTATAATGCCACTCATTGTATTGGGTTGGACTGGGCCAATGTCTCAGTAACAATCCAGTAACAGCTCTCCAGAAAAACTGCTGTGGATGCAGATTTAATTCAGCAAGCCCTTGGCCTATTATGCCATTAACCCTCCGCCAAATATACAACAATGTTTTGTAATATTATTTTCTTTTCATTGACAAACTGTATATATTCGTCTTAAAATTTTAAGAAATTATGTTTTCTCTGAAATGGTCACAGAATAGCTGGTTGTGTGAAAAGAAGAAAGAAAACACTTTTGGAATAGCAAAGACAATATATGATCCAAATACAGATATACAAACCGATAGCTGGATGCATTTTAGATAGATAGATCTTCTTAACTCTTCTTTAACTTTAAAAAAAAAAAAAAAAAAAGACTTACCTAATGTCCGTTTGCACACTTTCCTTCTTAGCCTACGGAGACAGAATGTATAACAATCATAGCATCTCTTTCATAACAAGATGATCTCCTGAATTATGCATTAAATATATAATTTATTTGGCAACACTACTAGTTTCTGAAATGAAAAGAACCAATGACGTTACCTTTTTGTGAATTTTTCCATTTTCAATATTCTCATCAGGTTTAGCTGAATTTGCACTGAGAGGAACATAAAGAGGACTTGTTAGAATTTGTATGCTAAGGCTATACTAAAAATGCTTAACAGGTAGAAATCATCAGCAGAAAGGTTTTGTACTTAAGAAATGCTTATATTGTAATGCTAAAGGTACGCATCAGCAAAAAAGACATACATTTGTATAAGAATATCAATACAGTAATAAAAAAAAAAATACAATTTTAAAGGTACATACATACTACATACTACAGTACATAAAATTGACTCTTGTCTGTTTAAATGCATGAATGAAACTACAACACCAAGTATGTTTTTGCTGAGACAACATTATAACATAGATCAGAAAATAGTGTACTAAAATTCGATAATATAGTAGCCAAATCATCGTGACAGGCCTACAAGCAGAAAGGCTTTTGAAAACTATAAATTCCCAAGTAACCATGCGGTAGTGGAAGTGAAGGGCCCTCTTTTTTAATAAATGACACTTAGCCAATAATTGATTGCATTAATGAGTACGTAGTAGTTAAACGCCTGTTAGCAAACCCTTTTCTCATCAGTGGTTGTGATCCAGGCCCTCTCACCTGCTCTTTACTGCGTCTCCCTCTGCGCCAGCACTTTCATGACCACTCAGCTTCTTCAGTTTGGACGACCTGTGCTTTGACTTTTCTTTCTCCTTCGAGTCCTTCTCTCGTCCCATGTCTGTAAAACACAATTTCGAGTTTAAATTGCAATCAACAATCGCGTTTGTTTGAGTGATCTTTGCATTCACCGAAGTTAACCTTAGCCGCTTTCCTAGCTGACTGGCATGTGACTGAAATAAAGAGAAAACACAAATGACGCTGAGCTGTGCAGTCTTATGGTGAACAAAATGTATGTCGGCTGCATAGACTGTAAAAAGAAGTATATATCGCTACATACAGTTGTTGGCTGACAGAAAACGCACAGAAATTAGATGTATGGAGCTGCTAACCTGTTTGCTAACAGCGTGGGCAGCGTTTCTTCGGCCTGTTCAAACCGACCTGTGATTGGCTGAAGAAGTTGCCCGATTTCCGAAGTCTGAATTTTACCATTATTTTACCATACCTGAATTAAATTACTCATAACTAAACGATGTGTGTCAAATTACAGGTAAACTAAATATAAGCACTGTAATATATTTGTTGCTTTTAAGATACTTTAACTAATGTAACACTTTTGTTTTTAACGTTATTTTCATGAGGGGGCTCCGAAGATTAGCGTTAATCTATTTTACCTGTAATTTGAAACATATCGTTTAGTTGTCAGTAATTTAGATAATAATAATTTAGAATTTTAATTTAGTTAGACCCAGAGCACAGTACACATTTAAAACTGAACTGCAACCGGATCTCTCTCTCACTTTTTTTATTTATTTATTTTTTTCTTTGGCATCATATTAACAGCTACATTTTAAATGAATAATGTAGTGTAATGTTTTATTTACATTATATATAATTTCAAAGGTATAAACTCCCACTCTCAGTTTGATCCATTAACCCACAGGTGTCAAACATACGGCCCGGGGGCCAGATCCGGCCCTCCAAGACCTTTAATCTGGCCCTCGTCTGATTTTCTACTACTCTACTTGTTATTTTTCTGTGGTGTTTATCACAGCAGCATCTCCAGCGTCTCTATGTGTGGCCCCTCTCACCAGAGCAGCACAAATGAAGACTTGTCTCTTTCCAAACGCTCTTAAAGGACGATCATTTTGACTGTTGACCGTGACACCGTCATTAGCAAAATGCCCAAAATGAGAAAAGTGGAGACGAGTGCAGAATTTTACAACAAAAATTTACTTATTCCTATTTACATACAAGTTCATGTTAAAACATTGTGTTGAAATTACATTTTTCTTAAAGTTTCAGGTTGTTCATAATATTATAATATTTAGTAAAAGAAAGAGTTCATCAATTAAAAAATATTTCTGTAATAGATTTGTGTTTCTCTGCGCAAATATTTGAACTTATTGTTATTTTTGGGGTTTATATGACATGAGTTTTCTGGTCCGGCCCCTTTGGGATCAGAGTAGGTTATGGCCCCCAGACCAAAATGAGTTTGACACCCCTGCATTAACCAATCTGAACCTTGGACATTTCTCTCTGTGATTAGGTTGTAGATAAAATTCTCACAGTGGCTTTTCCTATAAAATAAATACTAAAAAAACGTGAGTCTTCTGAACGGCTCTTTGAAATAAACGGATCTAAAAGATTCGGATCCCCATAAAAGAGCCGGAGGAGCGCGTAGGTGGGTGAGTGTCTCTTTAAGGAACCCGGAAGTGATTCAATTGTCTGTTTTGGTGTTGCTTCTCTCCTCTGGCTGTGGTGATGATACCTCGACGCCTTCTCTTTGCTTTTGGTAGTAGTAAGAGGTGTTGGCGATATCGGACAGCCTTCACGGAGGCCGGCCGGCGCTGCTTCTCGACACCGGTTTGTGGCGGCGGTTCCCCGGTCATGGAGGAGATACTGGCCCGGGTGGTTGTACCTTTACCCACTTACGAAACCAGAGACAAGGCGCCCCCTCCACCTGAGTCCAACAGTCTGGAGTTTATGCATTTTTACAAAAGTTTGGACAATGAAGATAAACTCAATTTACTCACAAAACTATCACAAGACTTTGGGGTTGATCACAAAAGTGTGTCTGAGCTTGCTGCGAGGCTTTTGGACACTCAACTTCGAGATTTAGCAACCATTTTGCAAGCTGAAGACAGGATACGATACAGTCTAATTCCTCGTTACAGACATTTACTCAGCCATATCAGTAGAGTCGAAGGGGGAGTCAAGTTTTTGGTGGATCTTCGCACCGATTTGTTGGAAATAATTTCATCTAAAGCTAGCGACAGCCCGCACATAAGGGTAATGAATGTATTTGTTTACAATTTCTACGGATGCTCGTGTGTATAGAGAAAGGCCATTTGCTTTTCGTGTCAATCAACAAAAATATATATTATAATGGTTGGTATAGGAGACGAAAAATGGCCATCTGAAATTCTGAGCCCCAAACCACCGCACCATTTTTTGCAGCTTGTCCCGTGACTGTCATCTTCACATCTTGAGTGATATTGACCCTTCACCTAGTTTTACTTTACAGTACAGGGTTACCAGACTATTTTAGGGGACCTATCCTCAAACCCTATATATTTTCCATGAGGTATATTTGTGGCACCAGAGGGAAACAACAGAATCTATTTTTGTCAGATCCACTTTAGGTCATTGTACTTACAATGAATCAATAGACTTCACAACAACTCATAGGAGACCAATGTTTTAGCCAACAGTAAATGTATAGCAACGCTTTATAAGTCCTATAATCTACTTTTGACAACTTACACAAACCAATTCCCATCCTAATATCCTAATTATTTCTGAGCCTAGAGCTATTTCTATTGTGAAATATTGTTCAGCTCAGTCTGTACTTTTTTGTGTGTGCATTTTGCATTTTTAGATTGCTGTGCTGTTCATAATCATTGTATTATTTGGCTTTTCAGCTCTGTTTACACATGGGGCCATCACTGTATCCTTTTAAACATGCACGTTGTATTCAGAGAGTGCCTTTGTTTGTGTGAGACCTGCTGTGGAGATGGTCACTGTGTGCAGGACTCATAAGTGACAATCATATTAGGCAATTGTCCAGTACAATATTAATATGCTGATTTCATTTGAAACTGCCTGACTGTGCAATCACGCAGTAATCCAAACAATTTGCGTACCGAATAGCGAAATGCAGATTATCTTTGAAAGACTTGCTTACATTATCTTGGTTTGATTATCACCAAAACTTCAATTGTACTGCAAATGGCATTATTCATATTTGTAGCTCTTCTGTGTAGTTTCTCTTTTTTCTGAGGTATACATTCATTTGTTATCTATTGGCTGTATATGGTTGCACTACTGCTTTGCATCTATTAGGTAATAATTCATCTGTGGTTTGAATTAATTATTAACCCTCTTATCTAGCAATTATTTTGCTGCAAAAGTAGTATTATGGTAATGAGCTTGCTGTGTTGCTCTGTATCCATTGTACTCTTGCCAAGAGAAAGTAAAGCTACATTGAATCAATTTCCTATGTGAGCAATGTGCATTTCCATCGTAGTGGGCCAAAGGTACTGGCACAACTTCTGTTGCTTCAAATAGCAGCTACATACCATTGTGCTATTCCTCGTTCAAGAATACAACTGCCTCCATTTTCGTTTCACAACTGAGCTGTTAACATTTATTTTCTTTCCATTTTCCCTCTGATTCAGTGCTACCATACGCTCAGAATGCCAGACCGTAGCATTTCAAAAGACTTCTTCCATCTTCGGAGAGGTCAAAGTAATGCACATCTCTGCTTGGCCTTGCTTTTGTGTGGGTGAGAATTGGCTACCCAAGGCGGAGGCTTCTCTCTCGTGGGTTGTGGATTTGCTGTTTTCCCCTGAAAGCACAGATTTGGGATTATCAACCATCAAAGATTATTTTACCCCGAGCTTGTGAAGTCCAAATAATGGGATAGAGCACGCCATACAACATAAAAGAAAGTGTAGTTTGAAGTTTCAAGGATTTTTTTTTGCCCTCCTAGCTTTACTCTTTACACCCTTTGAGCCACTGTTGCATAACATTTTTGTCTTTTTTGATATTACACTGCAGCATTTTACCATTATTTGAGCTTGCTTTTACTGACTATAACTATGACTTTGAATGACTGACAAGATGATATTAAAGAAGCGAAAGAATTCGCTGGAGCTGCAAATATCTGCTTGATTTCTATTTGTGCATGTGGACCGCCGGCTTGTTTGTGTGTTTGCAAGAGATTTGCTTTAAATGAAGTCTGACCTTTACAGGGGGACAGGCCTACTCTGAAATGGCAAGTTGTTTATTGAAGTGGCTCTCCGACACCCTTTGCGAGCTCAAACAAATCACTCCATCTAATGTGAAAACACCCAAACAGCATGCAGACACCCGGGGGACCATGCATCCCACTGTACACGGCATGAGCAGGAATTGTTCAAAAACACATCAAAGTGGGGGCAACTTTTCTCCTAAAAAAACATAGGAAAAAAAACATCTAAAAAGTGTTTTTTGTAAGATATCCTTTGGTACATTTCTTTCTAGGTACATGAAAGTATCATTGTATTTTGTTAACTTCAGCATCATTTGTATGCATGTCCGTTCTGATTTTCTCTCTGTAGTCCAGCACAAAACTCATGATCTGTAGCTCACTCCCTGTGACTGCCTGGCAGTTTGTCTCATACCAGTTTGTGTTTGATGGTATTTCTTCTTCTGTAGGAGCTGAACAGCACACTGAAGGGCCTGTTGTCAGAGTGGTTCTCAGTGGGTCTGTTAAAACTGGAGAGGATCACCTGGCAGTCACCCTGTGATATCCTACAGAAGATTAGCCAGTGAGTGAAGTAACATACTTGCATTACATTTTTCAAATACATATTCTTGTCTCTTGTCCCAGACAGGCACAGTTGCAAAGCACACAGCCCCTCACACAGATCACCCTAGATTCAAGTCTTTGTTTGTCCATTCTGGTTATTTGAATTACCTTGCTTATTTCTTGGATTTCTATTTTGAAGCTTTGTTAAATTTAAGTGTTCAGAATTATTTGTTGTTTAGTAGCTATACATCGCACCCTTAAGAAAAGTTGCTCACTGCATTTGACTCAACCTTTAATGCCTCTGGAGCAGTGGGGGAAAGGATCTTGAGCTTGGTCAGGACTGCCTTAGATGGATGATTTGGTTTCTATTGTGCATGCAAACTCTGCACAGAAAGGCCCAGACCTTCTCTCTGTGAGGCAAAAATTCTAGCTACCACAACATATTTAGTCATGCAGTGCTTTAGTGTGCAATTTTCTGCCTATTAGTAAGCAAGTCAAAAAGATTGTCAGTTACATAGAAACACTGACCCCAAGGTGCAGAACATTTTCACATAAAACTATTTTACAATACAACAGATTTCAAGGTCACACCGTTACTCTTTTCTCTCTCCACAGGTATGAAGCAGTGCACCCTGTGAGGAACTGGACTGACCTGAAGCGCAGAGTGGGCCCGTATCGCCGCTGTTACGCCTTCACGCACGCCGCCATGCCCGGAGAACCGCTGGTGGTACTTCATGTGGCCCTGACTGAGGAGATTTCCAACAACATCCAGGTTAGTTCGCTACCTCCACGTCATGGTTTATATCTCTCCCTGACTTTACTGCACCTTCAAGGATAGTCTCCAGATTTACTTGTTTGTACCCACTCCTGTGTGACAAATGCATTATAGCCCTGTGGACAAAATA